GCATTTTTTGGGTGATAAATGTGAAAGATTGAAACTTCTGACTCAGATATATAAGTTCATGATAATTGCTTTCCTCAAGGTTCGGTTTGGTCTTGAATTTTTTGTTAGCAATTAATGAGAGAATAATTTTTTAGTGTGGCCTCGAATAATTTAGGTTTCCTCCTAAAAAGGGTTTAGGTGGGGCTAAAAAGAGAGAACGCATTATTGCTTTATCATATTCATACCAACCAAGTAATGTAAAGAATACAATACCTAAATTGTCAACAAGTCAGTAACATACCAACCAAGTAATGTAAAGAATACAATACCTTTCTCTTTTATACGTATAAAATTATCATATTTACTAGTTAATCATAACTTGTGCTTAAACTAGTTTATAAGTTATAATTTATTTTTTTATGGGTAAACAGGCTAAATCTATTAGAGAAGTGTAAGTGAGAGTGACTGATTCCACCAACATAACATAACAATGTAACATGTTTTATAAAGATTGATTATCTGAAATTTGTACACCAAAATTATGAAACGGATGGAGTAACAAGAGTCAAGAAACATGAGAAGTGTATACATAACCAAATGAAGCGATAAGAGGCAGAGAATCATAGCCCATACAATATTACGATCATGGGCTCATAGTAGGCCTAAAGATCCAATACTCTTTTAAACCCTTTTGGATACTGGGCCCATTTTAACAAAGCCAATCTTTAATTATTTTTAGTAGCCTTAATTTCAATTAATTTGATTAAGAAAAAAAGACAGAAATAAGAAATATAAAAAGAAAATAGTGGACGATTTGTTTGTGTATTAAAAAGGTAATAGAGTTAGAGAAACAGAAAGAAAGTTTTCCTGTAAAAAGAAAAAAGAAACAGAAAGAAAGTCTGAATAGATATATTTCCTATTCAGAAATAAATGTATAAATGCTATATATATAGAAAATATACTAAAGCTTTTGAAACAAACCAATTAGAAGCAAAGAGAATCTCCATGTTTATATAGAACCAAATACATACATACACGTGGTGTGAACTGTCCTGACTACTGTATAATGTATATGCATATTTCCTCGATAAAGATTTCTCTTTCTGGAAGACTTATAATTTATTTTTGGTTAAATTTGACAGGACTTATTTTTAGTATAATTATCATAAACCTATTACGAGGAAGTGTTTTATAAACAGCTGTAGTGTTCATGAACCTGTTAAATATTTATGTGCAAGTATTTATTACCAGTTGTAGTGTTTATAAACATATTAAGTATTTATGCGTAAGATTTTT